ATAGATAGATAGATAGATAGATAGATAGATAGATAGATAGATAGATAGATAGATAGATAGATAGATAGATAAAAAAAATAAATAAACCTGGCAGATAAATTGGTTTATGAGTAATAACCTTAACTGAACTCCAAACCTAAAAAACACTAACATTCATTCTGCTCTATTGCATAAGTCTCATGGAAAACAAATAATGTTTGCTAACGGTTGCCTGTTATATTACAGTACTTAAAATTTCACTTACCACATAAACAGATTCTGAGCACCACTGACAAACATCTAATCTTGTAAAAATGTGTGGTAAGTACTGCCGCTCCATAGTATAAACCGAGTACGTGCGATCACGAATCTCGAAAGTGAAAGTGAAACTAAAAAGTGATCGTGCATTTAAAAGCAGTTTCAATGCCAGGCATAATAGCGGCTCCCTGATGCCCGCAATTTATATACAGTATAATTACCCAATGATAAAACTGCGAGAGAAAGTATTGAAATACATATTTTCCTCCCATCTCGTATTTATTCCCTTTAGGGTTTCCGTAGTACACGTCATTTGCTTTCCGAACAAGGTATTGGGACACGGCGGATTGCAGGGGGGAGGGGGGAATCACGATGTCGGCTCAACATCGTGATATCTATCAGCCATCGGCGATGGACGATGGCATCGTCTATCGGCCCAACACTAAGATAGATAGATCTATTTTTCAGTCTGTTTAACTTTTTTCCAACTACCAAAATTCTATGAGCAACAAAATCAAAATATCTTCAATTAAATTAATTTAATTTAAAATTTAATTTTATTTAATTTTATTATTCCTTTGTCTTAAAGGGATAGTTCACCCAAAAATATTCACCCAAGAATATTCTGTCATTATTGGAACCCAAATAGTTGACGGAAGCCATTGTCGAAGCATTTGCTTGTCTGTCCAGTCATGTATGATAGCACATGTCTGTGTGTGTTTTATGGATGAATAAGTCCGTAATCCTTCTTGACTGACCATCTGTTTGATGCTCTACTCTAGTAACGCTTTGGATACATTTGTGTTTGTGTGTGTGTTCGCTCCTGCTGCATCTTGGAGCATCTGACTTTATCAGTTATCTGCTTTAATGAAATCGACTGAGATTCAGGTGGTGATTGAAGGTGTCAAGGGGTTAGAAAAGTGAAAGTATGTGTGTCTGTGTAATAGATCTCCATGGCAACAGTCAATGGGAGCGAGTCACATTGATGGAATGGCCTCTGTTGGGTAGATGGGGAAATCAAAATGAGGCAGTTACTATAGCGACGCTCCATTGCAGCTGCCTCTGCATCTGTCTCGCTGTGTGAGTGTGTGTATGTGTTGTTATATCTTGAGGAGTAAGAGCTCATTGGTGTCTAAAGTGATCTAACGACTAGCTATTTACACTCAAAGGATCCAACCATCACCCTCAGATAAAAAAATAAAAAATAAAATGTGTAGTTTCACAAAGTGACTCATCATTTAATCTTTTTGTAGCTCTCACTTACACAACACTCTCTTTCCCCTCATTTTGACTTTTTTTTAGACATCCGTGACCGCAGGAAGAAACCAGTCATGCTGTTCATTCACGGAGGCTCTTACATGGAAGGAACCGGAAACATGTTTGACGCCAGTGTGCTTGCAGCATATGGGAACGTCATTGTAGTCACCATGAACTATAGGCTGGGAGTTCTGGGTAAGTGTACTTCATTTTATTTTCCCATTAACTCTTCATGCAGGTCTGAAATCACAGGAGGCACAGAAACTGCTCCATATGGCAGATCAGATAATTTCCTATTTTATTTTGGGCCTTTTCACACATTTTTATATCATGTTTATTAGGAATGGTAAGCATCGGTGCATCGGCATAAAAGTTAACGATGCAATGCATTGATTTAAAAAGTGTGCATCGGATACAAGTTGGCATTTGTATCACGATGTATCGTTGTTGCAACGTAGGCTCATTGGAAATACGTGCCTCTATTTACATTTCTGCAAAACTGAAAAAACTTACCTACTGTATATGTACGAATCACTGCAGTTTCCAGTTGAAATGAACACTAGAGGCAGTAAAACTCCAACAACTTTTATTCCTTTCCACACAAAGTATGATTTAGAGGAACAGAGTTTTGTTTTATAAAGGCTAATTTTCACACAATTGCTTGCAGAATATTATGTTATGACTTCAAAACAATTTTAACATCCTGCGTGATTTGAAAACTGATACTTTTGTATTAAAAACGTTTTATCGCCACTCTCTGGACATTTCACTTTGAAACTGCCGTGAAACATGCTGTAAGGTACGTAATGTATCTGTTGAATCGAATCGCATTGCATACGTATCTGCTTCATATCTATCTTTAAAGGGGTCATATGATGCTGCTAAAAAGAACATTATTTTGTGTATTTGATGTAATGAAATGTGTTTATGCGGTTTAAGGTTCAAAAAACACATTATATTCCACATACTGTAGACGGAAATGTTACGTCCCTTACCATATTGTGATGCCTGCGGCAACCACATGTGACGACCCCGGGCTGGACTCCGCTTCGTCCACGGTGAAAGCTGATCTGGTGATCCACAGTGCAAAGTTGTTGTATTTCCTCAGCAACCAGCACGGATCAGCTCTAGGCATGACGAAGCGGATATCGTCCTTTTGGAAGGCCAAACAAAGTAGTTTCGCTTTCACAACGAAACACACAGCGCATTCACAACATGGCAGCAGCAACAATATTACAGCCAGAATAAAAGTTACGCCTTCTTTCTTTGCGTGAACATTTGGGCGGCATTATGTAAATCTTCCCACATCTTGACGTAGATATGTGGGGGCGTGTTAGAATGAGCCGTTTTAGGTAGGTGTGGCTGACTCTTTTATAAAGAATATCTCTTTGGATTTGAGACTTTAGTCTTTGCAACTTTACAGATCTTCTTTATGCACCAAGAGCTTGTAACACTCCAAAGAGAAAGGAAAATTTTAAATCGCATCATATGACCCCTTTAATGTATCGTATCGTTGGTTATGCATTGAGATGCGTATCGCATTGGCCTCAGTTATGGAGATGCACAACTCTAATGTTTTTGGAGGCAGCTTTGGGATTCATGTTTTTTTATTTTTTTTATTTCAGTTATTTCATTTTTGTGAGTCAGCTCATTTGGACTGTTCATTTTGGGCATTTGGAATGTTTATGTTTTGTGTATCAATCATGTACATCAAGCAGAAGTTTTTGTCTGATGAACTAATTCACTCATTCATTTTTCTTTTGTTTATATTAACAGTTTGTCATTGACTAGAAATTGTGCATAGAAGACAGAATGAGATGAGCATTAAATGCCAGGCAACATTTCCGGCTACACAACACTAATGTGGGGGCACTTTTAGCGGTCTGGTCAAGATAGTTAACTTTTAGTTAATGGTTAAATCTGGGTGAATTGAGCCATTGATTTTCTACAGAAAAGAGCACCAGAGGATCCCACAGTGCGCCAATTACAGGCTATAGGTCAATTTCTGCTTAATTGGTCTTATTATATAAGAGTCGCTTAAAGTGAATCCTGGATCAGAATAGCTCCGCGGGGAAGCTACCTGCTATTGTCATTAGACTGAATTTCTTCATTAGTTTTGACCGCAAAGCTGAATACGCATAGTTCAGAAGTGTGAGAGTTTCTTAGGGGTAATATGAGGTCTTATGAAAGCGTTTTTGAGTTAAAGTGCTAAATCCTTTCTCATTTCCTCTCTCTTTCTCTCTTTTATTATTTTGCAAGACTGAAATATTGAAGAGTGATATATTAATGCAGATTAGCTTTGGCTCTGACGGTTTTATTGGGCCACAGCAGTTAGAAATATATTTTTCCATTTCTTACTTTAACTGCGGCACTGCCCAGAGCGGGGATAAGGCAGCCTTTAGATTTGCGATTAATAAAAAAAAATGAAAATGAAATAAAAAAGAAAGGCACTTGAGATGTTTAAAGCATTACAACTAAACTGCAGAATGGTTGGTGCCGGTTTGTATTCGTAATGCTTGTAATATATAACATGCACAAATACAGCTGAAGGGCTGAGGCTGAGTCAGATGGTTCTAAGGCCCTGGGTGTGGTGCTTTAGCATTTTGACTTTCTCTGGCGTATTAGTGTGTTATGTACTTGGCTCTGGAGCTTAGTGCAGATAGTGAAGCTTAGAGATGTCAGCCTCTCAGCTCAGTTCTTCCTGCCATGCAAAAGAGAGTGCTTATATTTGTTTTGTGAATGTCTTTCTCTCACTGCCTGTTTCTCTTCTCATAGACTCAAGACTTTCCCCTCTAGATATAACGCAAAGCACAAGGAATTTAAATTGAGGCAGAGAGAGAGTGTGTGTGTCTACATTATTGATGAAAAATGTCTGTCTGGTGTGACGAACAGTGAAGCCGCATTGGGATTAGTGGTGACCTGTTTATAAAAATATAAATTTGAATGGTACCAAAACTGTTCACAGAGCAGTGCTGCGGAGTAACTAACTAAAAGTAGAGACACTACTTGATCGCTTGATAGTAGCTAAGCTGTTTTCAAACCAGTGTAGCTATTTAATTTAAGCTATTTTTGGTGACATCACTACATTCCGCTTTTTTAATATCACATAGTTTGCACATTGATCTTTTTTTATATGCTCTCTTAAATGGTTCTTTCTCTCATGTAGTGGTGGGAAATCTGAACTGCACATTAAAGTTTAGCAAACTGATTAATTTGGTTAATATAAAATAAGTGGTTCACTTTTTGTGAACCAGTTTGTATAAATTAGGCGGTTCTTTTTTTTACGGTAGCTAACATTTTATCTTAACAAACTGTTTCACTAAACTAAATCACTGATTTATTTGAGGCCCTGTACTAAAGTTCTCATAAGTTTTTTTGTTTGTTTGTTTTTTTAACACAATATTTAGGTAAACCTTGTTATTCATTACCGAGTTATAGATTTTGGTGTGTTTTTTAGTTGTATTGGTTGTATTTAATACAAAATTATAATTTCAAGTTTAATACTGTCACCCATATTGAGATTACTATAGTTTTTCGTTTCGTTTTGTTTTGGTTTGTTTTGTTTTTGGTTTTGTTCTTTTCTTGTTTTTTGTTTGTTTTGTTTTCACACCAGATCAATACTGCTCTAATTGAAATAATACAGTTTGGGGTCAGTAAGATGTATTTAAAATAAATAAATACTTTTATTTGGCAAGGATGCATTACATTGACAGTAAAGACATTTAAAATGTCATAAAAGATTTCCATTCCAAATTAATGCTGTTTATTTGAACTTTCTATTCATCAAAGAATTCTATATCAAGAATATTAAGCAGCACGACTGTATTCAACATTGATAATAATATGAGCACCAAATCAGCATATTAGAATGATTTCTGAAGGATCATGTGACACTGAAGACTATAGCAATGACATAATATTATTGTTTTACTATATGATGATATTACTGTTTTATTATATTTTTGATGAAATAAATGCAGACATGGTGAGCATAGGAGACTTCTTTCAAAAACAAAAACTCGACGCCTTTAAAAAACTCAAAAACTTTAGTGAACGATAGTGTATATAAAAGTGTATCCCCTTTCATTGCTTTTTTAGTAGTCTGTAGTTTTGCTAAGTACTTATTTAAAGGGCTCATATGACGTTGCTAAAAAGAACATTATTTTGTGTATTTGGTGTAATGCAATGTGTTTATGCGGTTTAAGGCTCAAAAAACACATTATTTTCCACATACTGTACATTATTGTTGCTCCTCTATGCCCCACCTTTCTGAAACGCATCGATTTTTACAAAGCTAATCGTTCATAAAAGCGAGGTGTGCTCTGATTGGCCAGCTATCCAGTGCGTTGTGATTGGCCGAATTCCTCGGCCGTCCCGGCGCGACTTCGAAGTCCCTGCGCGACAAGACAAAACCAATAAAACCCATTACAAACGAGGCATTTGTTGCGTCCAGTGGGGACATAATTACTGATTATAATGACTTAAGAATACTATAAAATACAGAATACTGTAATATAAAGAATACTATCTTTTTACGCGTTGCGTTCCGTATCGCGCCGCGTAAACATAAAACCATGTCTGCATTTGTGATCGGAGAAATGACACACAACAACAAGTGCTACTCTACACTGCTCAAAACTCGCGTTTGAATCATCAGTGGCAAATTCTTTAAATATAAAAAATGTACTTACAGTCTG